TAACCAGTTTTGAATTTGGCTTGATCAGGTATCCTCAGAGAGTATCAAAGATGAAAGCATCAGTGAGATATATGTTCCATAACCAGGAAGACGTAAGATGGTTTAAGGTAAGAAAGAAAAGGAACAATATGATGGAATGAATGTATTAGTCTAAAATAAGAGAGTAAAAGCTAAAAGCTTGGGGATGAAACAATGTTTTTTTTTGTATGTGCAGCCTGTAGAAGTGTGGTCTAAATGTGGGCGTCGTGGTCGCGTGAAGGAGCCGGTTGGTACACATGGTAAGACATTGTTTCTTATTTTAAGAAGAGAAATTTTATGTTTAGTTTGTAGAATCTTCTTTTTACTTGTACATGTGGACGTTGCACAGGGGCAATGAAATGCATATTCAATGGAGTGGTGCAGCAACATGACGTTGTGTGCATGAAGTTGTACAAGCGTGCTTATCCCAAATGGCCCGAGCGTATGTACCCGCAGCTTCTCTGATTCTTATTTATAAACTGAAGCTGATGATGATGTTCAAGTTTCTCTGAATTCATATTCGTACTTGGATAGCTTATGAACCTGGTTCAGTGGAATTGTCCTCCAGTTTTGTCATGTATGTGATGATAAAATATCTATACTATTAAAGTAGAATCTCTAATATGATCCTGCCTTTAATTTTTCAATGATAATTACATTACTGTGCCATTAACTATTTCTAAAAATTTAATTACTTAAGGAAATAATCTAACTATATTTTCTACTTAATTGCAAAATATCCTCCCATGATTTGATAACCTGAAATTATGGAAGCGTAACAAAAATTTAACAGTTCTGAGAATATATTTTTGTATTATTAATTTTCACTATATAATTACAATCTAAAAAAACACATTTATAAATTTTAATAGGTCAAAATTTACACATCCAAAATGAAAATGACTTAAATATTTCAAAATTTAAATATTAATATTTGGAAACAAGAACTTTATATTCAATTTATTATAAAATTTAGAGCTGGCTAAAACTTGTATATAATGATATCAATCTTAATATTTAAATTTTGATAATATTTACATCCGTAAAATATTCAAAATTTCAGAATTTTATAGAATTGAAAGCTATAAAAATATCCAGCTTTAATTCTAAAATCCAGCACCAAACCTACTTTTATAAATATTGGGTTGTGGTTCATATTTTTTATGTCTAACTTTTATGGATTATTTTATCAAATATAAAAAGTTTATTAAGTATGAGATAGGTTGAGTTACATATACATTCATAAAGTAACATAAGAATATTAAAAAAAATATTTAACTGATATAATATATATGATTTAGTTTTAAAACCGTAAAAATATAAATTAAAACTTGTGCAGTACGTTTAAATAAACAGATAATTACAGTTTCATTCTCATATAGTTGTATTGCTGTAATTTTTAATAAAATAATAAAACTAAAAACTTTATATATGAATGCTTCTTATTCTGTAAAATATAGATGATTATAAATTAAAGTACTTCATTAAAATAAGATATTATAAGTACATCTTATATTAGATGTTAGTTACTAACATAAAAAAAAATTAGATGCACAAATTAAATAGAAATTATGCACAAAACCTAAAAAGATATAATATGTATAAAATTATAATTTTTGCTAAATATTTTTTGTGCATTCGAAAAATAATCCCGCGCTTTTAGACGAAGATTTGAAACCTCAGAAAAAAAAATATGAATGTAGTTTTCAAAGAAGTGCTCGACAATCTTCAGCAGTTGAGTTCATGTCTTATACTGTTTAATTTTTAATGTGTTGTTAGAGTTAATCGTTTTCTTGTGTATCAAATAAAGAGTTAGAATTTAAATAATTTCCACTTTGTTTTTGCAGATTTCAGTCTTTCACAAGTTCTATATGGTGGAAGAATGCTTGGTGGTTCACAATTTTTTTTTAGTTATTACTCTTCATATTCTTCTTTTTCCATTGAATAAGAACGTTATTCTTTTAATTTTTAAAAATTCTGAATTCTATTTGGTTATTTAAAACCATATCGAAATAAATCTGATCTTATATAGACTATCATTAACATAAACCCAAATATACATCAGCCTACTTTCGAAAGTAAAACATAAACATCTAAACTTAAGCCAGAGTTGTTTAATCTACTAATCTATTTAGACTATAATATTTTTTCTTTCATCTTAGGAAGGACTTACAATGGATAAGTAGTTACTGACCATGCTCTTCAGTCTGTTGTCCCGTCAAAATTTGAGTCTTCTTTTGCAGCTTGATTACTGGTATTTGGTTCTCTCCAAGTCAAATATCATGCGACACAATCTAAATAATATCAAATTTATAAAATGTATGAGACAATCATATCTATCTATGAACACATAAATTAAGAGTACATGCAACATTAGGGTGTGTTCTCCTTCACCATCTTTGTGGCTGATATTTTCTATATATGACTTCTGTCCGCTGTCCCTTTGTTTCAAAACATAAAGAGTTGTCCTTGTATATAACTAAAAAATCATGCCAGAGTTGTTATTGTATATTACTAAATTATCAGGGAGAGATTTACCTTTATTTGGAGCAGTAAGAACTTGACATAATCAATAATCTCATCAACTATTGATATTTTGTCTGTCAGTTAATATCAAGATTAAATTTGATGACCTCATGACTGAGTTTCCCAAAAAAAAAAGATGGTGTTTTTGGAAAATGTACATCATGTATTAACTACTGGCTACAATAATAATGAATTATGCTAATAACATACTCCCTCCGTTTCATATTAAGTGTCGTTGTAGAGAATTTTTTGCGTTACAAAATAAGTGTCGTTTTCGGTATTCAATGCAAAATTTATTAATTTTATTATGTAATTTTTTTTCTATTGGTTAAAATATGGTTAGGTGTATGGGTAACTGTGTTTTTATATAGGAAATATGTAAAATTAATTATTTCCTTAATCCGTGTGCACAGCTATAGAGTGACACTTATAATGAAACAGAGGGAGTAGCATATTAAATAGATAGTGAATACTCCCTCTGTTTCAAAAAGATGAATATTCTCGAAATAATATTTGTTTCAAAAAGTTGTATTTTTTATATTTTAATGTATAATTTAATAAAAAAATATAGATTAATCCAAAAAAATTAATTGTGTTTCTTAAAATCCTATTGGTTAAAAATATCGGGATTTGTTATCTATAATACATGATGCATTGGTAATCAAATTTTATGTTTTTTCTTAATATTTGTGAAAAAACTAAACGTTTAACTTTTTGAAACGGAGGGAGTATTTTTTTTCTTTGCAGCAATGTATACTATTGAAATTCTAGAAGGAAGGTCCACATGCACATATTTTTACATGTCCTTGAAAAAATGAACAATTTTTCTAATGGTAAAACAAAGTAGCCAGAGTTTTATAATATAATAAGGGATAGTATGACAAATGGAGCCTTTGGAACCGTAAATCTACGTCAGGTTTGTATAGTAAAAGGGAAGTGTCTATAACAATTTTCGAAATATTATGCAATAGTAATATCCATTGATAGAAAAGGGTTTGTCTTCTTATAGACGTCAAGACAGTGAAAGGTTTTTGAAAAAGATGAAATCAAATTGGATTATAGATATGTTGTACCATATAACAGGGATCTTATAATTCAATATAGATCATATATGAACAGGCTCGGCTCTTACCCCTGGTCAAAAGCGTGGGTCATGGGTCCAGATTTTTTTTTTTGTATAAACAATAAAAGATTAAGGGCCTATTTTGTTATTTTAAAACTCATTTTTAAAGAAAAAGAATCCAATTTTTTTTTTAAACTTAATTTTTTTTAAAAAAAAGAGCTCAATTTTAAAGAAAAAGACCTAATTTCATAGTAAAATATAAATAGTAAAAAATGGTCTAATTTTTATAAAAAAACATATGAAAATGTTCTACATTTTTCAAAAATAATATAAGTATATGTAAAAAAAAAAATTTTTTTCCATGGGCCCAAAATATTTATGAGCCGGACCTGTATATGAATGTGGACTGATGCATGCAAACTCGAAAGATTAACTATTTGTTAAAATACATTGATAAGTGTCTGAAATATTTATCGGTAGAAGTATATAGCGAGAGAAGTGAGTGGTTGATGAAATAAAACGATATTTGATGGCAAACTAAACAGAACAAAAACTATTAAACGAAACAAAGTTTGAACGAAACAAAATTTTGCTAAGCAAAACAAAAACATAAAAATAAATTTTTCCTTTGAAAGGTAAAAAAAAGGCAACGGTGTTACTTGATTTTTAACTGATGGTAAGCTATGAATAGCAAAATATTATTTAATCATATTTATAGTATTCTGTATTTAAAGTAATATAGTAATTCATAACTATATATTAGGAGGGCAAAACCAAACACTGTAGAAACTAATTTCTCTAAGTGAATTTTTTTCTTTTTTTTTTTTAAAGGTGAGACAAGAATCCCACGTTAGCTCACTTTAGTTGAGTATAGGATCTTGAGACCGAAGATCACCAGAAAAAAACTGACATCTAAATGGTTCAAGAGTATGGATTTCTACAAGGGAGAAAATGAATCTGTCAATTGTCATTGTAGGTATTTGACCTCACGTAGTGCCTGCCACATTAACCCCAGATATAATACAAGCTAACGAGAATGACCGAGTCACGATCAAGACTTACTCCGATTGTTTGCAACTGTGGTGGCTGTGGCTTTACAAAAAAAATTACTTTAGAAACTTTAGATTTCAAAAAACTGTCAATAACTTAAGAAAAAAACTAAAGCCATAGCTTTTAAAAACCACCCACGTTACAAAGAAGAAATACTAAAAGAATGGCTTTAGGGACTTTAAGATTAACAAAAGTCATTAAAGCCTGATTACAAAAGTCATAGAAGGTAACAACACCAAACGAAGAACCAACAAGAAAGAAAAAGCAAGAAACACAACCAACAATAAAAAAAAAAAAAAAAAGACAAGCTAGTAAATGTGACGATGGCCTTCTCCCATCATTTTCATGTGCCAAGGAGTGATCGTGCCATGACCACCGCGGCCACTGCATTGCCTCTGACATATCCACTTTGATAGGCAAAGGTCTCCTTTGCCATTTCGGCCTCTATGTAGGCGATCTTCAGTTGCGCATCTCGTAACTGATTCAGCAAGTTCTGAAAAGTTACTGGGGCAGAGAAGTCTGAAGAAATAAAGGCAGAGTAATCTACCTGGAATGACAAAAGGAAAGTAAAACTAAATCGTAGAGTTTTGTATTGCAATCAAGTGAGGAAAGCAGAAGCTCAAACAAACAATATATATGATGCAAATGATAGATTAAATAACAAAAAAAATCACCAATACACAGATTTATATATTTTGTGCAATGGTCGCCAATTTAAACTCGAGCACTGAACTAAAAAAACAAAACACAGGAGCACAAAAGTTACCAATGTCGACACAGAACCACCAGACTCGAGAAGAATCTGACCGCAGTCTGCGATTGTCACGGGCTTGGAAGGGTACACAAATTCATTTCCGACCATTTTCTCAACGAGAGCGATCACATCAAATCCATCCACAACTTGACCAAAGACGATGCGCTGGCCGTCGTAGTTCGGGGACTCCTTCATGTGGAGCATGAACTGAGATCTGTAGGGGTGTCCAACAGAGTTGCGCATAGAGAGGATACCTGGACGGTCGTGCTTCCTGATGCAGTCCTCCTTCGGGAATTGGTTGCCGTAGATGGATTCGCTTCCAAATCCGTTCCCCTGAGTGATATCCCCGCCATACCAACTATCATCTGGGACTATACCGTGGATGATAGACCCCTTGTAGTGGAGTGGAAAACCAGACTCCCCTATGCCTTTCTCCCCGGTACACAGAGCCCGGAAGTTCTCCGCCGTAATTGGGTTCGTGTCAGCGAAGAGCTCTATCACGATCCGACCAACCGTTTTGAAGCTGACGGCAATATCGAGGAAAACTCTAGGGTTATTCGCCATCCGAAATTGATCACTGATTTTAGGGTTTATACGCAGCGAGGAGAGATTAGATTCGTAGTTTGTATCTTTTTTTTTTGTTTCCTTCCCTCTCTCTCTCCCTCTCTCTTCAATCTTTTGGTCTGGCCGTCGATATAATATACACGCTTAGAGATCTAACTAGGGTTTCAAATTTGATTTTCGTATCTGCATAAAACGCGGGACGTGAAATATCTTTTATTTTGTTATGACAAGAAAATGGTTGATTATGGGAGAAATTAGGGAAAATGCACTTAAATGAGATTATAATTTGAATAATACATCTTTATTTTAAGCTTTTGGAAATATATATTTACTAGGTGGCTTCCTGCACCATGTGCAGAAATAACAGTTTTAAAAATAAATTTATATTTAAAAATAAAATTTAGTTAATTTTTAAATTTATTATTTTATTATATTATTAACTTTACATTAATTATATGTAAAAATTAAGAGAAAATAAACAGTTTTATTTAAATATATGATAGTTCTCTCAAATAGAACTTTTTTAGTTTTTTTTCACAAAAATAGATTTTAAAACTAAAATGACCACAACATCATTTTTTATTTTGAAAATTTCATTTTTAAAAAAAAATTGTAATCCTATCCCCAAAACCCCACTCCTGAACTTCAAACAAAAAGGTTTACGATTAGTTAACCCAAAGGATATAAGTGTATATTTACTTATTTTTGATAAAACATTTAAGTCTATCTTGGTCATTTTTATTTTAAGGTCTATATTTGTGATTAAAAATTTTTTTTAGGTCTATCTTAAAATTTTTTTCTTAAATTTATATTTAATAATATATATGTATCTTTTATCTTTTGGTTAAATTATATTAAATCAGATTCTATACTATTAAGAGAAAATTTTGTTAGATATATAATTATCGAAATATAAAACTAAATAATATTTCTAAAATTTATAGATTTTATAAATAAAACTAATGGTATTGGGATTAGAAAATTTTAATTTAAAAAAAACTGCATAAAATTTTGAAAAAAATATTAATAAAAATATATAATTATAAAAGTACACTTAAAAATATTTCAATATTTGTAATATTATTATATTTATATTTCTACTATTATATTATTTATTATCTTAATGATAATTTATGAGTTCTTTTTCTTATCGCTATTTTAATACAAATATTTGTTTAATCAAACATAAAAAGTAATATAAAAATATTTTTGTTTATTTTAAATTATATTTAAGAATATGCATGTATATATTTAAAATTATAATCTTAGATATTTTTTATCTATTTATTTTAATTAAACATATTAAATAAATTTGTAGAAAATTTTATAATTGTCAAAAATTAAAATTAGACAATATTTATTAAAATTTTAAATATATAAGACATTAATAATTTAAGGATTAAATTTTAATAATTTTCAAAAATGCATTTTTGAAATTTTTGTAATAAAATTGTATAGATTTAAAATATATAATTAAATGATATTTTCGAAATATTTAGTGCCATATTGGTATATATTTATTTTAATGATTATTTATTAGTTATTACCATATTTTTAAAATATTTTCAAAAATATAAATCGACATTAAATGTAATATATGAGTTGTTACCATATTCTATAAAGTTTTCCAAATATATATATATAAACATTAAATGCAATTGTCCATGTTATATTTAATCATATGCCATGTCATCAATTCTAGTAGACATGTCATCATTTTTTTGTGAAAATGATTCTAGAGAGGACATGTGGCAAAATCACTTCACAAATAATATATAGGGGATGTATACTCTCTCCGTTTCGAAAAGATGAACATTCTAGAAATAATATTTGTTTCAAAACATGTATTTTTTACATTTTCAATGTATAATTTAATGAAAAATTGTAGATTCCAAAAAAAAAATAATTGTGTTTATTAAAATTATATTGGTTAAAAATATAGGGATTTGTTATCTATAATAAATGATGCATTGGTAATCAAAATTTTATGTTTTTCTTAATATGTGTGAAAAACTAAAACGTTTAACTTTTTGAAACGGAGGGAATATGTAAATTTACTTAATTTCCCAATCTTAATTATTCATTAATTTTTAATATATTTTTTTAAATGTTTAAAAAAGAAAAAAAAATAGATAGAGAAACAAAGTAGAAATATTTGTTAGAGAATCTACACAATATTTTCCCATATTGTGTATGAAACTAATATAGGGAATAATATATAGAATATGTCGATGTAGAAATTAAACTTTAACCATATTATATTCAAAATCAAAAAAACATTATAACAAATGTTAGCAGTCATTAAAAACTCATTCGGTAGATATAATGAATTTTAGGAAGAATGAATATTTTTGTAGAGAATACGTGAATTTGTTTATATATAATTAAGAAAATAAAAAAAAATCATATAAACTTCATGATAAAGTCAACACAAATCACAATTTGTTTTATTTTTGAATATCTTTGCTATTTTTAAAAAAAAAAAATTGGTAAAAGACCATATTTATTTCACATACATACTTGTGTTAACTATTAATAATTCCCCATATTATTATTAATTTCGAATTTTATTTTAGTTATTGAAATATCCAATTTGGATAAAAATGTAAATTCACATTGAATAAGGTTTATATTTCAAAAAATAAAATAAAAGAGGTAATTTTCAAATATCAAACTGATAATAGGGTAATTTACAAATTATCTCTTGATTTTGTGCACACAAAAAAAATGGTTGATTATGTGGGTTGATGTCAGTAATTGTGTAAAATGTTTTTGTTAAATTGCACCCTGTACACACAATTTTTTTCCCTAATTAAACCGATACCCTAAATTCTACACCATGATGTCTTTGTTGATAGACACCAAACTTGTCTCATCATAGGTAATTTGCTAATTTCAGCATTCTTTTTGAATTTTAAGCCAATTCATCCAAACACAATTCTAGGCTATTGTATTTTGTAGTGATGAGATATAAGAAGGTGATATGTGGAAAATGAGTGAATATGTTAATATGTTTATAAGAAATGACATAGGAAGTTTTTGTATTTATTTTGTCATCTTCACAATGTGCTATACATTAACATTTTGGTGTGGTGGAAAAAAAATCATATAGATTTTTATTAGTTTTTTTTTTGTCAGGGAATTTTTTATTAGTTATGATAATAGAAACAGAGATATGATAACATTAGGTTACTGCATCTGCTTAAATAATAAAAATGAATTTGGTCATTCGAGCCTAGTGACTCTAATTCTGTGGGTTAATCGTTTTTGATCTCCTTTCAGCAACTAGAGACGACTTATTCTTGGATTCACCCCCTTGGATGAATCTCTAGGTTAACCATCCAATAAAATTGCATTATTTCATATTTGATATATTGTTAAAATGGAAATAAATCTTATTATGTTTTTAAAAATAAAAATACAAAATAAATAAAATAACAATAATTAATAAAAATGAAAATAATTCTTTTTAAAGAAAATATTATAACATTCAACCCTAAATTCTAATCTTAAACCCCTGGATAAATTATAAACTTTTCGATAAATCTTATAGTGTTTTATAACTATGGTGTTTATGATTAACCCAAGAGTTTAGGGTTTAGGATTAGAGTTTAGGGTTTAGTGTTTAGTGTTAAGGTTTAGGATTAGAGTTTAGGGTTTGGTGTTTATGATTTACCCAAGAGTTTAGAGTTTAGGGTTTAGTGTTTTAGTGTTAGAATATTTTTTTTTATAAAAGTTATCCAATGATTTATGATTTACGCAAGAGTTTAGGGTTTAGGATTAATCTTAAAATATTTTCTTTAAGAAAATTATTTTCGTTTTTATTAATTAAATTTTTTCTATTTTTATTTTTAATAGCGTAATATAATTTAACAAGATTTTGTTTCTTTTTTTTAAAAGATATCAAATATAAAATTGTTAAGAACATAGATTCAATTTGACCTAGATTATTTGCTACGCTTCTTTGTGATTGATTGACTAGGTGATTTTCCCGTGCTCATGCACGGGCTTAAATATTTAAGAAATAAATATATTATAATAGTTGATTGATATTTACTTTAAATTTTATATTAATTTCTAGTTTGTATGTATAATTTGTATTAATAATATTATATATTTTAGTTATTATAATTTTATATATATATTATATTTAGTCAGTATTATCATTTGGATATATATATATATATATATATATATATATATATATATATATATATTGGATTCTTTCTATTCTATGAATTCAACTATAATCTTTTTTATTCTAAATATCTTAAATTTTTGATTAATTATTTTATTTACATTTATGTTGGTTGTTATCTACGAAATATAAGTATATCTTAGTAAGATTATGTATTTTAAGATTTTTTGTGCTTAGAACGAAAAANTTATTTACATTTATGTTGGTTGTTATCTACGAAATATAAGTATATCTTAGTAAGATTATGTATTTTAAGATTTTTTGTGCTTAGAACGAAAAAAATAAAAACTAAAGTGTCTGATTCTAAATTACATAAGTAATAATAAATTTTTGAAAGCTTATGAACACATATCAATATTTACAATAATTAAAATATTTTATAAACTTTAAATAATTTATGCCATAGATTGATTGGATGATAAACTGAAATTGTTTTTTAAATAATTTTAAAAATAAGGAATTCTGATTTGCTTTAAGTATTAGATTATGGTTATATTAAATTCCACAAACATAAAAACAGAAAATTAAACATCAAAAGAGATTCAATTTGACCTAGATTATTTGCTACGCTTCTTTGTGATTGATTGATTTGCAATTAGTTCTAGGTTTAGGTAATCAAGAACACAAGACAATTTGTTAACCCAGTCTTCGTTTCCTACTGACTGGGGAGAGATCAAAACTCTCAAGCTTTCCACTATTGATCAATGAGATACAACAATGGATATGATACCGAGAATGATATCGTTTCTCTCTTGTGCAGTTACTACAAGCTCGTACACAAGACGCTCACCGGAGAAGACTA